ATGCATCTGTAGATGCACAACAAGGTGCGGTTAGCCTTACTGACCACTTCCTCACATTGGCAGCTCATGTTTATCCTGGAGTCAACAATGTCGAAAATGACCTGTCCACCACCACTCTCTGGGTGCGACCATTTAGCCAATTTGCCACCATCTGACTCTGTAGGAATCAGTGCCGCAGTCACCAAGTTTTTTTAAGAGAATGTGGTGGGAAACCATGTCAAAGGCCTTCTTAAAGTCCAGGAAGATGACATCCACCCCGACACCCTCATTCAGGGACTTTGTGGCCTGATCATAGAAAGAAACCAAGTTAGTAAGGCAAGACCTGCCTTCAGTGAACCCATGTTTATTGCCACTGAGCGTTACCTCCGCTGCTGGGCCCTTGGAGATGTGCTCCTTGATAATTTTCTCAAAGGTCTTCCCAAGGACCAAGGTAAGACTGACTGGCCTATAATTGCTGGGGTCCTCCTTTCTCCCCCTCTTGTAAATAGGGACCACATTGGCCAATCCTCTGGTACCTGGCCAGTGCCCCACAAGTGCTCATAGAGCCGTGCCAGGGGCCCCGCCATGACTCCCACCAATTCCCTCAGCACCCTCGGGTGAAGAGCATCTGGACCTACTGATTTAAACATGTCCAGCTCCTCCAAATGTTCCCTAACTAGGTCGTTCCTGACCCTAGGCATGGCGGTGCCTCCCCTGGGTCCGTCCGCAATTCTAGTGCGGGAGATGTCCCTGTCCCTGTTCAGGAATATGGAGGCAAAGAATTTGTTAAAGAGGTCAGCTTTTTTGTTTGCCACAATCACCAGATTGTCAAGCCTATCCTGTAGGGGTCCCACGTTACCCCGTGCCGCCTTCTTACTTCCTATGTATTTGAAAAAGGACTTTTTATTATCCTTAATTCTGGTTGCTAGCCCTAGCTCCATCTATGCTTGGCCTTCCTAACAGCCTTCCTGCAGTCCTGAGCAGTGAAGGTGTAATCCTCCTTGGTAATAGCCCCTTGCATCCACTGTTTGTACACCTCCTTTTTTGCCCTCAGGCATCCCTGGATGCCTTTGCCGAGCAATGGGGCTTCTTAGCACTTCTGCCCCACTTGGTGCGCATTAGGACTGACTCCCTTTGAGCTCAGAGGATCGTCTCCTTGAGGAACAACCACCCGTCTTGGACTCCTATCTCAATGAAGCTCAAAGAGCCCAATGCCTCTCCTACTAACCTTCTTAGCTTACAGAAGTCAGCCCTCCTGAAGTCGAGGACCTCTGCCTTGCTGCTTGCTTTCACCACCCTGCACTGGAAAGTAAATTCCAGCAGATGATGATCACTGTTGCCCAGGTGGTCGAGTACCCACAGACCATCTTTTTGGTTCTAAGATGGCACCCCCCCCTCCCAAAAGGAGTATTTCTGGGGGTCAAGGGGAGAGACTTCTGGTAGCAAAGGTCAGGGGTCAGAGCAGAACTTCCGGTCCCATTATGGCATCCAGGGGGCAAGACAAGGGGTGAGGCTACCCATGTGGCCCTCAACAGCTCACCAAAACTTGTTAAATGGCCTTTCACCAGAAATAATTACCCACCCCTGAGCTAGGGGGTGGTTGACAGACTGGCACACCAGTCAGCCCCATATTCTCCTCTGTCGTGTATCCCAGGAATGAGCCTTGTCACTCTGAGGATGTCTGAGCCTGTCCTCCCACATGAGACTGGGTCCTGGGTACCCACATGGGCTGAGATCAGGGTTTTGTCCCTCTAGTATGATCCAAGCCTGCATCTGTATCTATATATTTTTGTTGGGGTATCTGGGGATCCCTACCCATTTAAGGCTATCTGAGCTCCTCTCTATGGTCCTATGAAGAATTGTGTGTGTTTGTTGAGGGCAAGGGGGGGTGGGGAGGGCAATGATTTGAGCTTTTCTCCCAGCTCATCCATTCTCATCTTGGACAGGAAGAGTTCTGAGCTCCTTTCTCTGCCCCCAAGAGCTGATATTTGGCATATTGCAGACTGGCACTGGGGAGGAGGTGAGAACACTTTCTGCCTCAGCCATGCCTTTAGGTGCACACCCAGCACCGCTCCTAAGGTAGTTTACATGATACCCATGTCTAGGTTTAGGGCACATGAGCAGGGGATTGGGTACTTGACCATGGTGCTCCCTTGCACAATCTGCAGGTGGTGCAGACATACCCTCTGTAGCTTGACTTTTACTTGGCTAAGGTTTGGAATTTACAGCCCCTTTGAGGGAGCTGTGCTGAGCATGCTATTCAGCAAAGAGTTAATCTGTTCCAAATTCTGCCACAAGCTTTTCTTTTTCTTTGGTTCTTTTTCTATGCCTCCATTTCTCTGCCTGCAAAATGGGGGAAGAATATTTTACACCAACTTGCTGTGTGTGAGGCTTAGTTCATCTCCCTTTGTGTAGTGTATTGAAAATGTTGAGCACCACTGGTACATATGATTAAGGAGAATAAAGCCAATGGCCAAAACAGATTTTTCTGTAACAAATTAAAACCTGCTCAGATGACAGGAGGCTGAGGGTTGTAGTGAACACCTGTGCCCTGGTCAGAGGAAAGTTATTAGGAGGGCACTCAAGGAGTTGGTGTTAGAAGCACTTTCTAACCCTTGTTCCACAGGGAGTCTGATTAGTTCTTGATGTTTCATCTGTTACGGGGATTTCCTTGGGAAAAAATTAAGGATTGTGGATCAGACTTTCTGTGAATCTCCTAACTGTTCCTTCAATGTTTCCAGGCATATACAGAATCCTTTTTTGCATTCACTTCAAACATGTATGCATATATTTACTTGCTGTGTGCTAATGTACAGAGTTTTACATATTCAGATAGTTATCTAAGCAAAGCAAAATTAGCCTCTATAAAACCTGAGTAATTGCACTTTGTGCAGATAAAATGCACAGAGGCTGGGAGGAGGAAAAAATCCATCTTGCCACAGGTGGTAGGGTACGGCATAATTATTGCTGCTTGTGACTGGAAAAAAACTGTCAAGTTCTCCACTGTTACATGGGTTGTTAGAACCACTGCATCCACTTAGGTTAGGGACAGAAGTTATACATAAACATATTTAAGTGATCAGAAACTGATTTAAACCTGTAACAGAACAAAAGTTCAGTGCACGTAAACCCATTTCAAAATGGCTGAAACTGGTTTAAGATGTACCTGGTTGAACGTAGTATCAGACTTAACTGATTTGGATCAAACCGGTTTATGAAACTTCTGTCCCAGCCTCACTCCTGGTTCAAGTTAAATTGGGAGTCCCCCAGCATCCCAGCATGGTTTCCAGCCCTGGGCTGGGCTGTACTGTCTGCTCCAGTAGAGAAGGGGGGGCCTGCCCCCCACCCCTGGCAAACTCCAGCTTGGGTCTGGGGCCAGGGAGGGGGGTTAAAACCTACCTTCCCCTGAGTATGGAGTTGCCCTGCCGCTAAACTTACTGCAACTCACTGCTGGCTGCAGCTGTGGACTACAAATCCCAGAGGCACCTGGAAGCAGGAAGAGGAAGTGATGAGCAACCCTGGAGAGTCCTGCTGCTGTGATTGTAGACTATAAATCCCAGAGACCTGGGGGGCAGCAGGAAGGGGAAGCAAACACATAGCTCATGCTGACTTTATACCAGAGAGCCAGGCTATAGTGCCCCCTGCCTTCTGGCCTGAGCCACTGCAGACATGTGGCTGCATTTTCTGAATCAAAAGTAAATGTGTGGCCAGTTGTTTCTCAGTTTAATCTAATCTTTGCATCTCAGACTAACCTACAAAGACTGAATCGATTCAGCCTTGGGCTTTTTGACTGTTTGTACTTAGCCCTTATCCCAAAACCTCCCTTTCCCAAACCTCCTTTGCTGGTCTTTATGACAGTATAGAAGCTACTGTGGCAAGCACCATTGCACATCTAGTTTGGAAATGCTCCCCATCAGTCTGTCACTAGATAAGTAGCACAGCTATCCAAGACCATTAAACTCACTTCCACAGGTCGTGCCACAAGTGTCATTGTTTTCAAGTCTAATTGCAAAATATATCTCTTTGCCCTGCCCTTCACAGATAAAATCACATAATACATATATCAAGAAATATGCATGAAAGTTTTCCCCTGGAGGAGGGGATTAGAAAAAGAAGCACATCTGAGAAGTGGTAGTCACCTTTGTACAGTTGGGAGGTACTCAGATACTATGGTGTGTTTCAGTGATATTGCAGGTACAATTAAAGATGCCCATTAAATAGAGGATGGTGTAATTGATATGTGTAAGTAGGATGTTACTTAACACTAATTTGGAAAATTTGATGAGAGAAGATTCTAACATTAACAAAGAGACCAATAAAAGTAAATGGGATTTAGAAAGTCTTTGAACTTTATTGATGGCTTCATCTGTCATTTAGAGTCCATTACTCTTTACCTCTTCCTTTCTTTCTCTCTTTCTCCTTTTTTTTCCTCCTTGTTTATTTCCTTAGATCTAACTGGCTAAAACCGTGCTGTGGTAGACGAGCAGCTGTGTGGCAAGTATTTTTGCTCAGTGCAAGTCTCAACAGTTTCCTGGTAGCCTGTGTAGTATTGGTGGTGATTCTCCTGACTCTGGAACTCCTAATAGATATAAAGCTTCTCCAGTGTGAGTAGTAGGTTTACGTTTTTGTTTTTAAATTTTTGATCAAAGGAAATTATGCTTACCTTTAACTTGTTCTTGGTTCTTTTTGGACTAGATAAAAATATTTACTGTAATTTTAATACAATGGAACCCTGGTACAGTGAAGTCTTCTCCAACCCCAACTGCCTTTCTTTGCAGAATAAAGTCATCATGAGACAGATTTTCAGTGTTACACACTTTATCACACTAGCAAACAGTCTGCACACAGGCTTTAGGAAAATTCCCCTCCAATCTTTATGCAGAAAACAGGTCATTTATGCAGGTGATAGATGTCTGTATGCATCATTTTCAAGTTGTTCATTTACTTCCATCCATAAATTTTTGCTGGAGCACTCTGCTATCTCTATTTTTAATTTCTCTCTAAACAGTAACTGGAACTCAGGATGCAATGCTGAAACAATTCAGTATATTGAAACAATTAGAACTTTTATCTAATTCACTAACATGATATAAAGAAAATAACTGTGCAAGAAGAGTTTTGCTGTATTATCAGAGTTCACTCTACACAGGTTCCACAGTATATAATTGTTTTAATTGTGGTATTTTGTTTTCTTGGTTGATCTGTTCTTTCACTGTTCTCCCTCCATCTGTTTTTTGCCCTGTCACACAAACTTGCCGGAATTTAAACACCAGCTACAAGTTTTCCTTTGCTAACTATTAAAAGGCAGCCTTTAAAAAAACAAAACTTGCCTATACACATGTGGACATCATAGATATATATATTGAAATGACAATGAAATGTTTAGACATACCAACAAACAAAAAATTATAGCATTAAAGACTATGTGCCTGATTATTTGTCTTCTTTCCCCTCCATTTGTATCTACCTCAAACTCTTCAGAGAACATGATATCCAAGTTCAAACAACTGCATCACTTATTTGTGAGGCTCTGCAGCCCTTGCTGACCCAACTTCTGTGTGGCCTAGCAAGTCAGGAGGTTGAACTAAAATAGTTTTCCAAGTTGTGGATTCAATCTTTAGTGCTAGATTTTAGAAAGATCCCAAATGTATTCATTGAAAAAGCACTTTTGTAAGTCACCTGTAAGCCTTTTTTGTCTACCTAGAGTTGTTCTTGTGAAAGCAGGGTAGATTTGCACCTTATAGACTAACCAGAGTAGATTATATATATATAACTCAAGCTTTCATGAGCTGAAACTCACTCAGATGCTATTAAAGGACATACAAAAGCTGTGTATTAGAGGGAGAGAAAAGTTTGATTACAAAAGCAGAAGGGAGGGGGGCAGTGCTGGGAAAGGCAGACATGCAAAGAATAAGTCCATAGGCGCAAAGGAGTCAAAAAAAAGCTAATCCAGGTAATGGAATAAGAATCCATAGCCCCTATTTAAACCATACTTAACACAATCCAGTCTGTTGTTGATTTATTTTTCCACAATTTCCTGTTCAAATTGCTTTTTAAAGGTTTGCTATCTGAGAACAGCCACTCTCAGGTCAGTGATGAATAAGCATGTACAGAAGTTGCTTTCTTCACCATTTAAATAGCTTTGGGTGTATACAGAAGTGCTCCATGCAAGTTTAAAGTGCTGTACCCATAAAGCACTTTAAATGGTAAAAAAGCAACTTCTGTACACATGCTTTATTTCCAAGACTTAACAGAACTTTAAAAATGGGTACAGCATTTTAAATTAACCTTTGCTAAATGAGGTATTAAATTTGAAGCACTGTATTTTACAGCACTTCAGCAACCTACAGCGCTTTAACTTCTGTATGCTGGTCAAATATCTGGTGATTCCACCAGGGGTGGCCCGGGAGCACTAGCCAAGCCTTTAAAAGCTGGCAACCCCTCCTGCTCCCACCAGCCAACTAAGATGGCAGTGATCAGGCCAGATGGGACTAGGAGGAGCGGAGAGGGGAGGGTGCATCCCTGCTCCTGGGAGCATGGCTCGCTCTGCAGCTAGAGGGGCTGGCTCTGTGTTGGAGGCTGACAGGCTCTGTGGAGTTCACTGGGGGAAGGGGGCTGATTCAGGTCTGTGCAGCCCAGGCTGGAGAGGAGCACTGCCACCAGCTCCATGCCATCTTGCCTAGGTGGGAATCCACTCCCTCCCAGCACGGTATGACACAGTTGGGAAGAGCCTTTACGGTCTTGGATGAGTTATGGAAGTGTCCGGGCCTGGCACGTGTTGGGGAGCCACATACCAAGAACATACCACAGAGCCCCAGAGCAGCCATGGCTGGGGGTCTGGCACAGTGCACAGCACCTGGGCACTGCCTAAGGGGATCTGGGTCCGGAATGGCACCTCTTCCCTTCACCCCTCTACCCTGCTTCTGCCAGCTCTCCTTTCTGTTTCTGTGGCTGGGGTTTTCTCCTGCCCTGTGTCCAGCTCCACCTCCACTGGTCTGCTGCTGTCCACAGTCTCCTGCAGTGAGAGGAGGCTATGGAGTGCTGCCTAGTCTGAAAAGTGCAGGGAGGCTCAGAGCTGCCCCCCCTTCCCCTATACCAAGCACTCTGCTTCGGTCATGTTTAAAAGTACTGTAACTTTATAGTGCTATAAAAAGTGCTCTAAATTACAGTTCTGTGAAACATGCACGGAGCTCTCCAGTGTCCAGGCTAGTTAAAGTGTTCTGCCACAGGTCTGCATGTAGCTGATGTCAGATCAGTGTTCATTCATTCTGTCATGTAGGAATCACCCAGTCTATCCAGTGTAAACAGCAGAGGGGCACTGTAGGTGATAGACAGGGATCCTGGTTTTCCCTGATAAAAAATCATAAATTCTTTGAAAAAAAATCGCAAATTCTTTGATAAAAACCCCAGAAAACATGATTAAAACAAAGGCCCCCCACAGCCCTGCTGGTGCCCCTTACTTCCCCTCCCACATCCCCTGGTTCTCCAGATGTCCCTCACTCCCCCCACAAAGTCCCCACAGCCCTACTGGTGCCCCTCACCCCTCACCCACAGTCCCTGTGTGCTGGCAGAGGGGTCCCCAGCTGAGCAC